TGATGATAATGATGATAATAATGGCGATGGTACTATGGATTATGATCATGATAGCAGCAATGGCAAAGATGATGATGATAATGACGTTAACAAAGATGTAGATGATGATATCAATAATGAAGACGATAATATTGACGATAATGATGATGATGATTATAATGAAGATGATTATATGGATTCTTTCAATTATATGGACGATGATATTTATTGCCTGAATTATTTTCTTAAGAACTATGATTCTTTTGATAGCGGCAACAACGTTAATAATGACATGAACGATACAAACACAGATGATGATACAGACGAATATTCCAGTGATTATAGTATAAGTATGGACATAATGATGTATTTAATGACAGATCCCTTCGGCGAGCTTGATATTTAATTAACAATTCAAGATACCAAATTGCCTTCAAGTTTATTACTCTTAAAACAATAATAACATTTGTTTTATGTATCAATATACTCTCTCGTTCTCTCTCTCTCCCCCTCCCTCTTTCCCCCTCCCTCTTTCTTTTCATTTAGACACTTTGTCAACTAGAAAATAAAACATCGACGAAATATTCTATATATATATATGTATCTATATATTATAGACATGAATAATTTTGTATTCTTTTTGTTCTTTTAATTTCAGATTTTTCAAATAGATTGTAACAATCAAATATATATATATATATATATTATTAATAGAGAAAATGAACAAACAAGAAAATATAATGAAAAAACGATTCAATAAAAACCAACAAGCTCGAAAAGTGAAATATCTCAAACAGAACATATCTCAGTTGGCTTTAGAGAACGGAAAGTGTTATTCATGGAATATGATGTCAACTGTAGATCCAAGTTTATTATCTATCGAGTATACAATGTTGTCGAATGTGAACTTAAAAGAAATGCTATCGAATGCGACAGTAGCAAACAATCATGATTCCATGGCCTTCATTGAATTATTGAATACAGACGAAAAATTAACATTTATACGTCAATTGATTCAATTAATTAATCAACTGAATTACTTAAAATTACAAGTTGAACAGTGGACTTATTATTATCATGTTGGCATCACTGAAGGTATTTGGAATGGATGTGTATCAAAAACAATGGCTATGTCGAATTCTATCTATCATATATATGGTCGATCTAAGAAATTAGTACAACGACGTCGAATAAAATATAATCAACAGCTTGAACGTTTGAATTTAAAAATCAACGAATATTTACAACAAGTACCATTTCTTGTGTCTGATATGGATAGGATTATAATGTTCATTACTAATCTTGTTCATAAAGATCAATATCAATTACGGATTGAATTAGAAAGACGAAGAGATATAATTAAATTTCATGCCAAAGATCATCAACTTATCCAAACCTTCTATAATATGAAGCCAAAAAAAGCCGAAGTTTGTCATCAATTCTTTTTCATCATTTTTATCCGCTATCTATTCATATTGACATTTAGATTTGTTCAGCAAAACTAACGTGGAAAGCAATTCATGAAGAACGTACACTCAAATATGAAATGAGCATATTTAAAAATTGGTTATCTCTTAAACCATTCTCAACTACATATGATTTTCAAGATTTAGAACTGACAAATATCAATGGTATTTTATCAAAACTTATTTTTAATCAACCAACAATTGATACACGAAATTTATTTGAATCGTCTACAAGTGATTTATCTATACAAATTTTTATAGAAATCGAACAGAAGATTCGAGTCTGTGATGAAAAAATTCAATTTGAACGAAAAAAATTGTTTAACAGAAGAGATAAACTTAAATGTAAATTGTTTATGAACAGAATTATAAATACTATTGAACATCGTCAGATAAATATGATTCAACATGCACAATACCATACGAACCAAATGATACGATTTATCTTCGGTGAAATAACATCTGATACAAAATAAAAGACTCATCTATTGTGTATAACATTATCTTTTGTTATATCGCTATATTTCATTGATTTTCTTCTTCTTCTTCTTCTTCTTCTTCTTCTTCTTTTTCTGATTATTAAGTGTATAATTATGTACATACCTTATTAATATTCAATTTGTCTCCTTTTTGTTTTTTTGTTTTATTTCAGATTCGTACTAATCATGCAATCAAATCCTGTAACTACGATCAAAATGTATTATAATTCAATGCCACTTTCATATTTCGAATTTCCATTAAGTTCTAATCGAACACACTTTTTGTCCTGTTCAGACAATTTCAAAATGTCCAATGTCAAAGAACATATTGCTCGTCTATATACAAATTATAATGATAATAATAATATTGGCATCATTACATCAATGGATAATGAGACGAATTTTACAATCAATCATCCTATTTTAATAAGTGTTCTTGTTCTATTATTACTTATTATGACCATTTTGATTATTTATTTAAAACGGTATTCAGTTCGTCGTCAACAAAATGAAGAAAATGAATGTGATTCTTTCGATGATAATGAAAAGATTTATGCCACTATTAATAATAAATATGATAAATCAGTCATATTATCATTTAACAATGAACCAAGTGAATAGATTCTAACATAATTTACTCTTATCTAATCGTATTAATCCATAGGTATAGTTTTTTCTTATTATCATTTTTATCTTTTATTTCATTTCCGTAGTATATCTTATCCTATAAATAGGACTGTATTTCTATTAATTGTTTATCTATTGTTTCTTTTTTTGTTTTTACATTTTGTTGACGTTTCGAATTAAAATTGTCGTTCTTTTGTACAATATCTTTGATATATCTATTCTAGATCTAGCATATTTAAACATGGATAGCGATCGTTTGATTTACAATATGGAAACAATAAACAATATCATCAATAAAATCATAGTAAGTTACCATTCTTTTTCGTTAGAATTAACAATTCTATGTTTTTATTTTATTGATATTAAGAAAATATTTGGACAATCTTCCACGAATCTCGTCGATACTATTAAAGACCATCTTATACATACTACTGACAGAATTGTATATCAATATATTAATAACTATATCACTGGAAATCGTCAAAGAATATTTCTCACAATGAATATTCTCACTTTTATATGCAATGATGTGTCATGTTTTCACAATTCATAATGCTTCTCTTTAATCATCACTATTCGAATTCGTATTCGTTTCTTTCAGATTAATTTTGTTCTATACAACAATGTTCACCACAAATAATCCATCATCATCATTATTATCATCGTCAAATAATGTAAATTAATCAAATTTTCATTTTTCTTTTTCTTTCATTACAATTCTATCGTCGATTCATTTCATTTTATATTCAGAGTCCGTTAGTGATTTCACTACAACATGATACTGATGGTAATCTTATGGAAGCCGACAGTGTCGAATCAGTATTAACTAGAAGTGATAACACAAATCAATCAAGCAATTCTTCTTCTTCTTCTTCTTCTAATATAGTAAGATTTATGATCGATATTTTTTGTTGAATTATTTTTTTTTTTCTGATTTACTAATAGACATCTATGAATCAACAAACAATTACAAATCAATTACCTTTACTACGAGAACAATCATCAATATATACTTTACAAGTAGAACCTGTACCAAACTCATCGACGACAAAATTATGCTTAATATCGAAATATGAAAGAGATATTCCAGTTTATTTAATGGTCAACAATTGTACGTTTGAAAAATTGATTAAAGAACAACAAAAGAATGCTACCATACATTCAGTTAATATTGATATCTTACGCAAAATAGCTCTTCTCATTCGTCGAGCAATTGTAACTGATTTCGAAAAATCAATTTGGCTTACGCATTTACAATGTGGCACTGGTACTTCACAATTATGTGATGTTAACAAATGTCCTAGATATTCACCATTTATATTACGATCAATTATACTATCAACAAAAATTATAGACATTTCGGAGACTAGTTTAACGAATGAAACTTATATGATTGTAGTACAAACATATTTACAGCAATTGGAGAGTCGAAAACAACAATATGCAACAGAATTAATTAAAATAACAAAAAATATAACAAATTATCATCTAATGATAGAACCAATCATTGAAAAGTTTATTCGACAACAATTATATCCATTACACATTGAAACTATATATAGAATAAAGTTTATTTGCTGTGAGTATGAAATAAATCGATTGAAAGTAGTTCTCGATGAATCCAACTTAGAAAACAATCAAGTAAATTGAGCTTACTTTTATCTATGTTCTATTTTTATCATTATGATTTTTATTTAGATGTATCAAATTACACTATTATGTCATTCTCTAAAAGCATATGAACAAAGCAAACAAGAACTTCTATTATTAACACATTGCGTAGAAGAAAACAAAGATTTACTAAAAATGTCAGATATGAGTAACAGAATTTCTCTATCCTTAGACATTAAAATGATGAAAAATACAAATATTCGACAGCAATTCATTGAACAACATAGAAAAAATCTTAATCAATATCAAAATAGTATACAGAAATCTTTATTGGATCTTGCCAAAATACATATGAATGATAAACAGAAATTATATGATGATGCACTTACAAACTTCAAACAAAATCAACAGAATCTGCCTCTTTGTCAACAATTTAATGGGATAATTAGAAATACAATTGACTTACTTTTATTACATATCACAGAAAGTTTACGAGCCTTGTATCAATTGAAAACATTTGCATTATTGGGTAAAATTCCAATAAATTGAATCAATTAAATTTTGATTACAATTTATACAATATGATAACAATTGACATTATCGTTTCATTTCATGTTTATCTTTGCTTGTCACATTTTTTTTTCAATATTTATTTCTAATTCATTTATCATATACTTTACAATTGTTATCATTTACAAATCTTTAAAATAGAATTACATTGTTACTTTTTGTTTTTTATTTCATCTCTAGATCAATACTATTATTCTTTGGATCATTTGAAATCATGTCTACGAACGAACAAGGTTTCTACTCTACTTACTCCAAAGGACAACCATTATCTAGTTTTTATTCTAACAACACATCAATTTCGACTTCGACTGCATCAATATCTACTGTGCTGACTTATACGGACAATATTTATTACATATCTTTGAAAACAAATGAGAAAACAATGATTTATATACTCATGTATATTATTGTTTATTCATGGATACTTCTATTTCTTTTGATCTTATGTATTATATTCTATTTCAAACTCAATCGATCTTTACGAAAACTCAAACTAAACAACTACGCATTTGAAAGTTCCGATCAGCTAACGGATTCTATTCAATTTTTTCCAAGTACACAATATCCTCTCATTCCTAAAACAAATGACAATCATCAGGTAAATCTTACATAACTTTTTTTTTCAAAATATTCAATACTCAAACAAACTCATCATTTATAGATATATATACCAGATCGACCCCAATCATGTGCCTATAATTCAACATTTACCATGGATATCTGAATCTTTTACTTAATGATATTTTGTTCGTTTCTTCTTCTTCTTCTTTTTTTTGTTTCAGTATAAAATAATTCATTCTATTGTCTCGTTGCAATTGATTTGATAATCCATATAGTACTATTTGTTACAATCAATATAGTTATTCAATTTTTTTTATACTAATCATCTACTTTCCTTTTGCTCTTTGTTTTCTGAAGCCAATAATACACTCTTTTATTTTGTTTGTCTTCTAGATTGAATATTTATTTAATTTTCCAATAATGCGTCGGTTACAACGGCTTGATTTAAGTCGAAATTTATGGGCATCATCTTCAGAAGAAGAAGAAGAAGAAGAAGAAGAAGATGATGATGATGATGAAAATGATGATGATAATGACAATAACAATCATAAAGCTTTAAATAATAATAATAATAATAATGTGGAACTAAATAATAATGATCTTATAATTAATCCAATGGTAACAACATTTCAAGGAATTCAATCAACATCATTTTCGTCGACTGACCAACATAATATTCGTCTGTCTTATTTACCTGCTTATCCGTCATTGCAGCAAGCAACAACAGCAGCAGCAGCAGCAGCAGCAGCATCAGCAACAACAACAACAACGACAGCAGCAGCAGCAACAACAGTAGCTATAGAAGACGATCTTCTATTAGCGAATATTCCACGTATATATTTGCACTAAAATAAAGTTTCAAGTTTTTTCTTCTTCTTCTTCTTCTTCTTGTTTATTTTAGGTCAGTTATTAACACACAAACAACGGTATCGTTATGACGAACTTTACAATTTTCAACCATCATTTGAAATAATTGATCAAAGTATTAAGAATGGATTCTCATCATTTTTCATTACAAAATATAGAAATTTATTTGTTGATTTAACGCGTCGATTACATATTAATGATGCTATTGTTGATTATAATTATCCACGTCTTTTAAAATGTTTTGACATTATGATTGATGAACGATTGTCTTATGGACTTATAAACAAATCATTTTATGATGAAAATCGATTACCTATTGAGGAATATCCAATAGCATTAGAATTTTTTCTACAAATTGATCGTATGTTTTAAACAAATATTAATTGATGCACTTTCTTTTTGTGTTTTGTTTAAATAGTGAATTTATTCTTTATGAAAACATGCTCATTTCGTGGTGCAATTGCACGCAATTCAATAATTTTCGATGGTATATTTTGTATTCAACAACCATATGCTACCTATAGTATGACAGCATGTCGAAAATCCAATTGTCATTTTTGTTTTCCAACATCGATGGTTCGCAATCGAACTCAACATTATCAACCTGTTATTGAATTTGATTTAATAGAAGAACATAGATTTGTTAGTGGTTATCGAAGTATTCTCAATTGTCCTGCAGTAAATATTAATTTTTTATGTATAAATAAACTTTTTTATTATATATTTTTTAATTACAAATAGACATGTCAAACGAAAAATATCCTGTATGTTTTAACATGTCCTTGTGGTAAATTTGATTATATTGGATATACATCAATGTCATTAGATAAACGTCTTGCTTGTAACTTTATCTAAAATGTTTATTATTTTGTTTTTCTTGTATGTCTATATTATATAGATCATCGAAAACATGGTAATCGAATTATTCATGAATTTCTTTTGGGACCAAAAAATATTCTTCAAGTACAAACTCAGCCAAAATCAAGAGAGTATGTTCTTTCATTTTTATTTTTGATACTTTTCAAGAAAATTTACTTATATTATTGTTTATTTTCAAAGAATGCTAGTAAAAGATGATATGTTACTTTATAGACATTCAGCACGTTGTCCAGTAGCTATGCAATTATTTCTTAGTTGTAATCCACAATACTGGCCATTTGTTCCAATGTTAAACTATTATGCATCTGATGAGAATCGATATTATCAATTACCTGCTCATATTCCTGCAGATCCAACATCACCATTAGGAGAATCTGTTCATAGACGTAGTGACTGCGAAGCAGGTACTTGTATGACTGATTTACCACCAATGCCATTTAACAGATACACATTTTCTGCACGTCAATGTGCTGAACAATTTCAATATTTTAAAAATAAACGAGATTATCAACCACTGAATAACAATCTTGATATATATAATGCAAAAATTATTGCTGTTTGTAAGTATATACCTATCATAGATGACTTTTTGTTTCATTAATGTGCTGTATTCTATATTTCTGCTCTTCTTCTTCTTCTTCTTCTTCTTCTTGTAGTGCCAAATAATTGTTCTACATCATTATATCGTCTTTTAGAAGTACTTTTTATTACACATGCTCAAACAAAATTAAATACATTAGGTCATTTAGATACATACACTATGCATCAAGCAAATAATATCAATCATAGTCGAATACGAACAGATGTTATTACTGATCGTGGTGATTGGTGTCGTTCTTTACATAATCTACCATGAACCATGATCGTCATATCCATAAACTATAATAAAGTTTTTATGTTTGTTTTGCTTATCTATCATATATATATATATATATATATATATATATATATATTCCTTTTCAATTCATTCTTATTCTTGACATATTTAATCATGTATCAGTTTATTCTATATTACATAAAATATTTAGATCATTCTTATTTCTCTTTACTTTCATTTTAGATTATTATTATTATTATTATTATTATTATTATTATTATAGATTGTAGCATTTCTTCAAGTCAACTACATAACAGATATATAGCATCTTTTCGAAATAAAATGGTAAAACAAATAGAATATTATTTTTCTTCTTTCTTCGACTCTCTTTCATATAAAATACTTGTTAATATTACTACTTTAGGTTGAAGAATCAAATTTTTCATCAATACAAACAACAGACTATGATATGACAGATGATGAATTAATGGACTTTTGTTATTCTGATAATTTGATTAAATGTGATAATAAATCTATTTCTTATCATATCGATAATATACTTCAAGTAATAACTACTATTCTTTATATCTATGATTTTTTCTGAAAACAAACAAACAAACAAAAGAAAATAAATATTTTTTTTCTCTCTCTATCTATCGTAGATTCCTGATTATTTATCCATGAAAAATAAGAAAATATTTGAAGATATGTTTCATCAAAAAATTTACGATTCAAAACGTTCAATGAACATGGAAGAATTACGATTAATTACTATTCTTATGCATCAACTAGATGTTCTTAATTTGAATAGATCTCTTTGGAATCATTATCTAAAATCAGGTACATGTAGTCTATTAACAATAAATGAAACAAATTTTAAAATATGGCCATTAAAAATAAAAACAATGATTCAATATGCTCAACGTCCTACAACAATAAGTGATCCTAATCAGATTCTAGTTAATGATAGTATGTGTTTAAAATATGTCAATGAATATTTACAAGAATTAAATAGTAAACAAAAACAATTACAAGAACAATTAATGTTAAAACAAAAACAACCTCATGGTTATACAAATACAATTGAAAATATTCTAGAAACATTTATTCAAGAACAAAATCAGAATTTACGTTTACAATATGAATATGATATGAAATTAGTAGAATTTGATTATCGTGAACAATTACTTGTTCATAAATTTCATGAAGAAAAGCCTACTCAACAACAAGTAAATAATTCTTTATCTTTTTTTTTCATTCATTTACCTTTCAACATATATGATTTTTTTTAGTTAGAATTAACTAAACATCTTTTTCATCTTAAATATGATTATGAAACAGCTAGACAAGATATGATATTGACGGAACAACATATGAGTAATAATATATTACCAGAAGTATTATGTCGTGTCGAATCTTCATTACCATCTTCAATTCAATTAATAATTGATACAGATTTACGTCATCAATTATGCGATCGTCATCGTCACATTACAAAAAAATATAAAATAGAAATGATGGCAATTATTATTGATACAATGAAAGTTAAATTAGAAGATTCTCAAAAATTATTTGATGATAAACTAGCTAATATGTGTCATGATCAACATTTACTACCAATAGGCCAACGATTGAATCAAACAATGATTGATATGATAGAACGTCATCTAGTTTTTATTACTGAAAAAATTGCATATCTTTATCCTTTAAATAATGTTACAAAATAACTATTTGAGACTTTTATTTATTTCTCTAATTTTCTTTTGTTTTTGTTTTCTTTTTTTGTTCTTGTTGTTGTTGTTGACATTGTCTTGGTATTCGCTTGTAGTGTTCAGTGTTTTTCTATGTTTCATTTGCTACTTCTTCTTCTTCTTCTTTTTCTTCGTCATCGTTTTCTAATTCTTATTTATTATTTCATGTCATTCATGTTTATTTCAGATATTCTTTATTATTTTAACAAATTCAAATTTCATCATGGCATCAAATAAAAATGTTTCAATGTCGACAGTGAATAGACACAACATTGTAAATCAAAATAGAGTAAGAATATTCAATGTTTATTCGTATGAACATGTAGAAATACTTTTTTCTCCTTTTCATTCTTTATTTTTTTTTTTCTAGTACCATGTTAAAGAAGTTCCTTACTATAATTTTGATATTCTTGATTTTGATGATGAAAATGAAAATCATTTGACTGAAGAACAACGATGGAATAGAATAAAAGAAGAATTTACTTTCGATTATAAATTTAATAATCTAGTTGATAGTTTAGAAGCAAACGATGATGATAATGATGAAGAAGAAGAAGCAGAATTAACAGAACAAACATCATTCATAAACGTTAATACAATCAATCTTGATAATGAAGTAATACAATTATATGATAGAATTTTCTGTTCTTTCTTATGATAACATATTTTTGTTTATTTTAAGATATGTGAAGAACAAGTGTTATCACAACGATTAAGTCAATTATCGACAATAGATCATTATGAATCTGAACCATCAGTCGTAGCTGGAAAAAGACGACGATTATCATTGATATTGACCACATTAGAACCAATTACAAAACGAGTGCGAACAACAACAACAACAACAACAACAACTGTTAATGTTAATAGAGAGAAAGATGATTCTATATATGATTATTTATTAACAAATAATAAATTATTTGATCAAATGATTCAAAAAATTGATATTAATATTAGTGCATATGACATCGATCATTTACGACAGATTGCTTTTTTCTCACATAAAATCAATCATTTGAATCTTCTTCATAATGTATGGTCTGCTTATTTACAATATGGTACTGGTCAAATAAATGATCATGATTACGATCATGATGTACAAGAAATAGAAAGTATAGTAGTCGATGTTGATCGACGATATTGGCCACAAGAAGTCATATCAGAAATGTTAACAAAAGAAAATATTACTGCAGAACAACTAGTTCAACAACATTTACATGACTATGAAAATTCCATAAATGATTATGAAATAAAAATGAATAATATAAAATCTCATCTTAATTGTTGGTCACTTGAAATGGAACAAGCAATACAAACATTTGTTTGTCAATATAGTACTACATCACTTCAAATGAAATATGATGCTAAAATATTTCTACTAAAATTTCAATATAAAGATGAAATACTTCAACGTAAATATCAACAACTTCAACCAACTGATTATCAGGTATAATAATAATAATATCATAGTTTCTATTTAAAAACTTTTTTCTTGTCATGTTTAGAAACAAATAGCAAAACAATTGTATGATTTAGAAATAAATTTAGAAACAGCAAAATCTAGATTAATCCAATATCAAAAACGAGTTCTCTATAATAAACCACCAATCTATTATGATTGTTTACAAATTTCACTTCCATCAACTATCAATACTATATCAAATTTATATCTGCGTCAACAATTATTAAATCGATATATTAACTTAATTCAACAAACAAAAACAGATCTCATGACTATTGATCTAGTAGGAAAACAAGCATTAATCTATGACTATCAAACTAGATTTGATCAAATAAAAAACAGTATGAAAGAAAATATTCAAGATAAACAAATGACTTCTTCGTTGACATCTTTAATTCATCAACGTTCAATGAATATGAAGAAAAAAATTCAAGAAAAGTCAAATATTATAATTAATTATTGTATACAAAATTCATATGATCAATTACAATACTTTGAAAAATCAGAAGATAAGAAGAATTTTAAACGACTAGGTTTTTTACCACATCTTATTATTGATCCAACGATTACTAATATCTCTTCTCATCTAACGGATCAACAAATAAAAATACTAAATCGTGGACCAACTTATGTTGCACCAGGTCAATTACATATTTCATCTCCATTTCAAACACTAGATCAAATGATTATGAAACAATATGCACCATTGAGACATCAATTAGCAATTATATTTGATAAATATCATATTAATTTATCACGTTCAGCAAAAATTCAAAATGATGCACATACAAATATGAAAAAATTCTATTCGATTCCATTACCAGATGATATTTATCAACGTGCTATGTATGAAAATCAACTTATTCACATGATTCATCAATCATTAAAGAAAAGTAATGTCATTCTACGAAGAACGGCTGATCAAAATAATCTATTTTATCTTGGTAATAAAAACGAGTTCATAAATCTATCAAATCAATATATGGAAAATAATACTGATGATTATAAAATTCTTTTTGATATGAATCAAATGAATGTGGAAAAAATACAAGAACAATTAAAGAAAAAATATGCATTGATTAATTGTGAATTAGAAAAATTATTTAATAAGAAAAAAAACAATGAATATCTATATAGAAAACTTCGAATTCATATTGAACATATTAAAATACCATATCTCTACTTTTTACCAGATGTTTCTACGGTAAATAAACAATATTAATTTACTTTTTTTTTTTTTGTTGTCAATTTTTGTTCATTTATTGATTTGTTTAATTTTAGGAAAAATCTATTCAAGTAAAACCAATGATTATAGCACATCGTAGTGCAACATCGAAAATAGCTCAATATCTTAAACAATTACTGCGACCATTAGTTGTTCGTTATATACATCAAAGAGTATTTGTTAATGAAGCTGATTTTATCCAAAAACTTCTTGCTTATACAGAAAAAGACCGTCATCTTCATTCAACTACTTTATTTGTCAAAATAAAGATTACTAATTTTTATAATATGGTATCACATAAGACAATGAATGATACAGTTGGTAGCTTATTACATAATTCTCTAGCTACAAATAAAATTCATTATACATCAATTCTTTCGAATCAAACTCAAACAATCTCAATTAATACGATTCAAAAATTAATTGAATTATATCTTGGAAATAATATTTTTTATTATAATAATAAAATTTATGAATTTATTCAAGGTAGTCCAAATAGTTTATTATTAAGTGAACTATTATCTAATATTTATTTAAATTATTATGAATCTAAATTACATAACGATCCAAGATTAAAAACAGAATTATATGGCAGGTAATATTCATTTTTCTATTTCTTATTTGTTTCTTTTTCTCGACTTTTACTTTATTGTTTTTTCTTTTTTTGTTTTTTTTTTTTGCATAGATATAAAGATCAAATTTTTTTTACATGGAATAGCTCAAAAGAAGAACTTCAAGCACTTCTTCAAACTACGAATCAAAAACATTCTAATGTTCATATCGAAGCATCGTTTGGTAGATCTATTCATTTTTTAAATGCACAAATAGAAAATCGTAATGGTCATTTATATACAAGTGTTTATCATGATAAAACACAAATATCAAAATATATTTTACCATATGTTGTTCGTGATACTAAAGCACAACATGGTCATTGGTTTCGATCTGCTCTAATACGAGCAGTTCGTTTTTGTTCAAATTATATTGATTTTATTGAAGAACAAAGTTATCTTCAAATGTCATGTTTAGCAAATGGTTATTCCATCGATTTTATTGAAATACAATTGAAACATGTTTATAGTCGTTTTAATGCTGAAAAAATTCGATTTTGTCTTGATCAAACAGTTTATCAACGTCTTCGTCAACGAGTATTAGTTTTTATTGATGAACAACGTATAATGCTTGATAAAAATCAAGCATTAGAAGATCAAGAATATATATTTCATTTGTCATATCGATATGATTATGGTTCATCCTATGCATATAATGAGGAATTTCATAACACTTGGACAACTAATTTGGAGTTTGATCAACAATTATCACATCCAAATGCAAAAGTTATTCTAACTCCAAAACAAATTTATTCGTTGAATACTTTATTAGCTGAAGAAAAATCTTCGAATGAATTATTCAAAAAATCATAAAACAGAAATAGTTTTCAATCATCGTAGTAGTAGTAGTAGTAGTAGTCATAGCAATATTTCTTGTTATTCGTATTGTGTTATAGTTAAATATAATTGCCTTTTTTTTTTGAATTTTCATGAGTATATTATTCTTCAATATTCTTTAGTGAATTTCCATCATTTTACTCTTACATTTTAGATCTATTCTTCAATGAATATCATAACTAATTTTTTTAAACTCAATCATCGTTACAATAAAAAGACACCAGATATAATATCAATTGGTTGTCAAAAGCAAACAGAAACAACAATTCCAATAAAGATCCAATCATCAACAATAAAAACAAAAACAGCCGATAGTGGTAAAAAACCACAAGCATTATCATATCAACAATCAAACCAACCGTCATTTCATTTTCAAATAAATGCTGTTCTTAGTCGATGGGAAAAGTTGAAAAAAGAAAAGGTAAAATGTCAACAACAACAACAGCTAATGCAATGTATTAAAGAAAAGAAATCAACAGAATATGATGAATTCGATCGAATTATGGAAGAAGATCTTGGAAATCAATTACAAGAACTAGAACGACAAGAAGAAAAATATTATAAACAAATAGAAGTAACATTAGAAGAACAATTCAAACAAGATAATTATAGCGAAGAATTAGACGATGGCGAATTAGAACGAATTTGTATGGAACAACTTGAACCAGTTGAAGAGCAAAATGATAGATAATAAAAAGAATTTGAGAAACCAAAATATAATCAACATTTATCATATCTCAATACAAAAGTTATTCTAACTCCAAAACAAATTTATTTATTGAATACTTCATTAGCTGGTGAAAACCTTTTGAATGAGTTGTTCAAAAAAACTATAAAACAGAAATATTCTTTAGTTAGTAGTAGTAGTAGTAGTAGTTGTAATCATAGCAATATTCCTTGTTATTTGTGTCGTGCTCTTGTTAAATACGATTACTTTCTTTTTTTTTTGAACTTCCATGAGTATATTATTCTTCAATATTCTTTAGTGAATTTCCATCATTTTACTCTTACATTTTAGATCTATTCTTCAATGAATATCATAACTAATTTTTTTAAACTCAATCATCGTTACAACAAAAAGACACTAGATATAATACCAACTGATTGTATAGAACAAAAACGAACAACTACTACTACAATAAAAATGCTATCATCTACAACAAAAACAAAAGATGCTGATAATGGTAAAAAACTACAAGGATTATCATATCAACAATCGAACGAATCATCATTTCATTCTCAAATGAATAATGTTCTCAATCAATGGCAAAAATTACAAGATGAAAAAGAACAATGTCGACAACAACAGCTGATGGAATGTATTAAAGAAAAGAAATCATCAGAATATGATGAATTCGATCGAATTATGGAAGAAGATCTTGGAAATCAATTACAAGAACTAGAACGACAAGAAGAAAAATATTATAAACAAATGGAAATAACATTAGAAGAACAATTCAAACAAGATAATTATAGTGAAGAATTAGATGATGATGATGATGATGATGATGATGAATTAGAACGAATTTGTATGGAACAACTTGAACCAGTTGAAGAGCAAAATGATAGACAATATAAAGAATATGAGAAACTAAAATATCATCAGCAATTATATCCTGTTAAAGAAGTACAGACATTGTCACAACAACAAACATTAGTCAATAAAGTAACAGATGAGAAAAGACAGGAAAAGTTTTTATTGTAAAATTCTTTGTTTTTCTATTGGATCTTACTAGTTTCAACTACTTAAGGTTAATGGATTACTTAAGAAAACACAACATAACCTTATGAATCTTAATCAATGGAAACAAAAACAAGGTAAACTAAATGTTAACAGAAAAATCATTACCATGTTTCATTTCTGTTCTAGATATGCACTTAAAATTAACTATGAACAAAACAAATCTAGTTCATAAAAATAAAATGATCGATCTATTAAGAAAATATTCGCATATAAAGAAATATCGTGTTCAAACATCAAAATAAAAGCAACTTAGAAATTCATCTCAATGAACTAACAAAAGCTCAATAATCAATCTCGTATATATATATATATATTGTTTGGTTTTGTATTGTGCATCATTGATATCTTTTCTTAATACATTTCATTTATCAACGTTTTTTTATTAATTAAATATTATCTTTATTCATTTGCGTATTCTATTATTTAGCGGCATGTTTTAGATATTCTTATAGAAGTTTTTCAATCTTGCTTTGTTCATTTTACTCAACGATGATGTCAAGACATATTATGGATTTAACAAACGAAAGTATCAATTCTACTAGTACAACTAATGATAAAGATCAAGTAAAAGATTCTTGTTTAAAGATTTTATTCAATGGAATATCTATGTTTTTCTTTACTAGTATGGAAATTTTGATGTATTCAATGAATATCTTCAGGATGGACATGATGATGATGATGATGATGACATTCAAATCATTGGTGTATTTGATCGATCAGTTATGAATACAAAGAAAAATCGAAAAACAGACAAGTATCATTCAACTATCGTATGAATAAACAATTTTTTTAATATTGTTATAAATATTCTTTGATTTCTTTTTTTTTTGTAAACACAGAAATCAAAAGAGAAAAGATCTAATAAACATATTCAAGAACAATCGTCAATTCTTTCTCCATCAACAAAATTAACTCTTATGAAATTACTTCGAATAGATTTCAATGAAATTCCTTCCTATCTATCCAAGATAAATCAATCATTTGATAAAAAAATTCATTCTATATTACCAACAACCAATAATCTAGAACAACTACGATCTATTGCTATATTAATGTATAAAATAATATGTATCGACATGATACGTTCTCTTTGGATCGTTTATAAAAAAGCAGGTATGGGTGAATTACAAACAAACTTACCATCAATAAATCAATTAAATAGAAAAATCTGGCCAAAAGAAATTCTATTATTACTAAATGAAAATCAAATTGTTGATATAAATCAAGATAATGCTTGTTCAACCTTGGTAAATCATGGTCTATGTCAATTGAATGATGAAAGTGAAGGTTATCTCCGTGAACTAAGTTTAAATACAACAAAAATATCCGATTATACACCTAATATAGAATATATTATTGATAAATTTGTTGAACAAGGACTTATTGGTTTACGTATAGAGATCGATTGTCAAATTGCTCTAGTTGAACATGATTATATAGATGAAATACTCAAACAACAATATTTAGAACAAAATCCAACTAGTACACAGGTATGAAAGAAGAATGTCTATAAACTTGTTTAAATTCAACAACATCATTTCCTTTTCTAATCTGTATTTAGATTGAATCCGTAGAATATCTTTGTGAACTTAAATCTAATCATGAGACAAAAAAATATGAATTAAATTTATTGAAAGATAAAATGCCAACCTATCTATCAGCTCATTCATTCGATAGTCGATCAATAATAGAATCACCATTAATCAATACTATTCGAAATCCTAGTCTTCGACAACAATTATACATGCAATATAAAAATCTTATGGAACAAATACAAAGTAAAATGTTAAATGTTTATCTCGAATCTATCGAACAACAAGCGTCTGACTATCAAATGAAGTTCAGTAAAGAAATAACTAAACTATGGGGAATAAATAAAACTCTTCCACAAAATCAACAATTAACTTCAATTGTACAAAAACTTATTGACCAACGTTTATTAAATATTATTTCGCGTACTAAATATATATACGAATTTAAAAAAGAATTATTTAATGTTAAAGAAAATCATCATTAACTAAACGACTTTATTTTATGTTTTTCTTCTTCTTCTTCTTCTTCTTCTTCTTCTTCTTCTATCTATTAAATATGACTATAAACAATGTTTTATATGGTCTACTTTAGTCTTAGTTGTAGTTTATCATTGAAATAACATTTTAATATTGTACTCATTCATATTATTCTTTCTTTTTCTTCTAGATTTCCTTTTTAGTTTTAATTATTTTTCTTCCTCTTCTTCTTCTTCTTCTTCTTCTTCTTCTTCTTCTTCTTCTTCTTC